GACCAAATGCTGAAGCTAAGCAGACTCTGTTGCTTAAAGGAGGCACTAAACCATTAAGGTACAATTAAAAATATATTTTGCGTGCAACAACATTTATTAGGTTTAAATTTCAAATGAAATATGAGAGTATGCTTTGCTTTGGACAGGATTCAAGAATAACTAAACGAAATAAACAGCAAACCAGTTGGGCTTAAACTTCCTAACGAAGCATGAAGTGTCAACATGAAGTGTAACTTAGTTTTACTTGCAGGTTCTGCTCTCCAAGATTTAAATCTAGAATTTCACATGAAGTCTTTCATTAGTTCGTCTCTCCTTACCACTTGTGCAAAACGAGGGGAAAATACACAGATATCTAGTGAACAGACATCGGATATCCAGAGGAAGCCCGATATGCCTTTTTCTGTGCCCTGAAAACCCGCTATCACTTGTCGGATGGAAAAACTAGGGACAGTTTAAGCTTTAAGAGTCGTTGGCAGTGGCTTCCGGAAGAGTAATCCGAACTCAACTGGTTGTACCAATTAACATATCTGATTTAGCCATAGTGTAAGGAACTTCGACGTCATGGATTTTGTAAAACCAGGCCAACATCTGGTCGACATCAGCCCAAGAGTGGATATGTTCACCAGTGCAGTGGTAGACAAATTGGTAAGGAAACTCAATCTCAGCCAGTTCACCCAGATGATTTCAGAAAGTGTCGAAGTGATTGGAGGTCGCTGGAAAATTTCATTTTCCAGGGAAAATAACTTCCCTTGGCGCCTTAGCTTATAAAATAAATTGCCATAATATTTAAACTAAAGTACTAAGTAAGAATGGAAAATCCTCGCTCAAGTTTGCAGTTGCCGAAATACAGCAATTAATTAGCCAAGAAGAGCTCGCAAAATGAAACATCATCTTGACGATATTTAATCTGTGACCCGTTGCCCTGATGGATCTTAATTTCCGACCCCCGCCGCTCCATCCTCCGACTGGGCGCCACTTTCGGGGTCGAAATGACCCACATTAGGAATGTGTAATTAAGAGCATCGCTGGCCGGCAAATGCCCAGTATGCTAATGACCAAAGTGAATTGTTGCTGTAGTGCTGATGTTGTTGTGGCTCCTTGATGTTGCTGTCGCATGTTGTTGTCGCTGGCTTGAATTCCGCACAGCGATAAAAATGTTTCGCTCGGCCGCCCACCGCCACGCCCCCCGGTGGCATGTTTAGTCAGCGGCTTATGCGACGTATGCGTAATGTTAAAGCCATGGCCAGCAGGAATGGGGTGTATTTGGCATGTACATACACATGTACGTGCACACGCACATGCGATTGTCCCAAAGTCAAGGGGTCCTCGTCTGCATGAATTGATTGACACGGGAAGCGGCGGCATCGGTGGCATCGGTGGCATCGGCGGCATCGGCGGCAACAAAATGTGTCTGCCAAACAACTTTATTTGTGAGAAGTGGCATTCATGAAATATTCATGCAGGCAAAAAACCCGGCTCACTGCGCCGCTGTTGCTGTCAGCCCGGAGGAGTTGCTCCCGCTCAGAATTTCAGTATATCCATACCCTGGAGCTGACATCGAGGGGCATCAGGATTTATTGGGCTGCCAGGCGGAGTGGATGGAAATTGAAGAGTGCAGCGCAGTCGGCAATTGTTGCAATTCGATGACGGAATTGATCAGAACGGCGGCAGAGTAGCGCGTTATCCATAAATCAGGAGTGACTACATTTTCTAGGAATTTCAAAAAATTGCAATTTGAATCTCATGTTTAATAAGATGGCATACATAATAATATGGAATGCCAAATAATATGAAATACATAAATATGAAATACATAATAATATGGAATACCAAATAATATGAAATACATAAAGATGAAATACATAATAATATGAAATACATAAATATGAAATACACAATAATATGGAATAACATTATTTTAAAGTAGAACAATTTACATTCATCGAAAAGTTTTCATTGAAATAACAAAGGGGATTTTAACGGCTTTCCATCTATAAACGTTTTATAAACTTTTTTTAATAAACACCGCCGAAACGTAATTTTTTTCAGAGTGCCGTACAGAAAGTAATCTGTGCTTACACTTCTTCCTCGTCCTCTACCAGTTTTGTTCATTTTTGTGTTTTTTATCCAGCCTCAAACCCAATTCAATCTCATCTGGCCTCTTTGCTGCACGACTAGCTCCTGGATTCGGACAAATCGTTTATTTGGTTAGCTTAAGAGTGACCCACATTTGACACAACTCAAGTTTCCCCAGCCACTGGAAAACCCGGCGCATACGTACCCCATGTTTGTCCAAGTTGATAGTCCCAGCCACCACATCCCGGCTCACAGCTCACCTCACGACCTTGTTGGTTAGCATTGGGAAAAGGCAGCAGCTGAATCCAGGAGAAGATCACGCGCAGAAAAAAGGAGATGTTTATATTTACTTCATAAAGAGATTCTTTTCACTCCTGTATAGAATTAATTTCAAGTTCTGCTTAAAATATAACTAATGCAAATATTCAAGTGAATACATTTTTTTCGAGGTTCAAAGTTTGACGTCTGTGATCCATAATATCATTATGTATATTAAAAACCGCATTATCACGACTAGCTTAAGTCGACGTAACTTAATCTCTACTAAGTTGAAAAATAACTCATTTAGCACTGAAAAATCTTGAAAATGATTTCCAAAATGTGTGCAACTCCGAGACGCCATAACTAAGGCTTTTGTGGTTTATGGCTCCCAGTTGCTGCACTTTGGTGTTGTTTTTCTGTGTGCACAGGCAGAGCAAACTTTTAAGCGTCCAAGCCGATGGCATTGGGAAAATAGCATCGATGTCGCCCGGCACCACACAAACTATAAATTGGCTTAAGCCCCGGACCAGCTCTGTCGACCAGTTTGGAGTGTGTTCCCATTTTCGAGCTCGAGTCCCCTTGAAGAAGGTTCCGTATTCGGGGGAATCCAGTGGAGGAGGAGGTGGAGGTGGAGGTGGCTACAACGTTTGACACTTTTGAACTTTGATGTACGGCACTCAATCTCTGACTTGGGATGCCGGCTGAAAAGTTTCTTTGTGGCCTGTCATGTCTCCCATTTGATTTGCAATGATTTTTGCTAATTTTCCATGGCATTCGCTTTGACAAGTTTTCAGCTTTTATCTGGCCAAGATTCCCACGACATCCGCAGCATGTTCGGCATCATCATCGTCATCGGCACTGGACACATTTTACCCAATCTCGAGGGCGAACCTGTTTTTCGTTTTCCACCAACTTGTGGCATTTTGGTGTTTTTTTTTTTTAATGCCAGGCCGAGCCCCATTATTATTATTGTGATTAGGATGAAATTAGTTTTTTGTCACGCCAATTTTATCGCCGAATCATCTGCCAAAAAGTGAAAACTTTAACGGCCAGTGAAAATCCATGGCATTACCTTGCACATTGGTGAATTCGTTGAGCGAAATAAGAGTTCTTCATACAAAATGAACGGAGTGAAAAATGGTTCGCTTTCCATCAATTTGGCTTCGATTAAAGCATTAATCAAAACTCTACTCGAACGGAAAGTCAGAACGAAAATTCGCATTCATCATCGTCATCATTAGGGGCACAAACTTGACTTCCCTCACCCTTCGCTCGCCAATTAAAAATTCATTCGCTGAATTTCCATTTTTATTTTTATTTCCCATCCTGCAACCAGTAACCCCTTTTCGTTTGATATTCGTTTTAAATTAATATTAATTGCGATTCAGATTCGGAATCCGTTTGCTTTGCCACGCCATTGTGGTGGATTTAACCCTCTGCTGCCGGCCACCTTCATTTTGCCTTACCCTCCCCACAAAAGTGGCATCGAAATGGCTGAAACCAGCACGTTACGGCTAAAAACTTCTTCAACTTGGCATCCCGTGCTTTTCATTCAATTAAGTGCAGCAAAAGCACGCTGAAATGGTTTCTTCTTGTTCCGGCCTAGGAAATCACTGAAAGAAAAGTTGTTAGTATTGCATGTGGGTCCATTGCAATGGCACTATAATTATCCTTTTTGCGAGAATGGAAAGCAGTGGAATAGACATTAGTCTTCATTAGCAAATAAAGTGCTATAAATGTATTCCTTTGAGAGATCCCATTGCAATTCCGTTTTTCAAAGTGAACATAATAGGGATTGTGCTTTGTGTATGCCGCCTTGTTATTCAAATCCAGCATTTTAGAGTATCCTGGAAACCCAGCAAGAAGCAGAGCCACAACATCAACTTCCCGCTTCCATTAAATAATGCGAATTGAATTATATGCTCAATAAAGCTTTCCATAGAAAGTTGCTCTACATCTCAACGGAAAGGGGAGCGAAATGAGACGAGACTTGCTCCATTTGCATTTCAGCCGCCTACTAATTTGGCCAACATAACATTTCTGATTTATGGCTGTGTGTGTAGGTAGAGTTATACATGTGTGTTATGTGCACTTGGCTTAAAGCAGCAATTAGTATTTGTTAATTGATGAAATGTGTGCTTGTGGACAAATTCATATTTCTGCATCAGCGTTCATTAATGTTATCAAGTTTTGAACAAGTATTTCTGAAATCAAGCTAAACACTTCTGATGTACTTTAAAAATATTGGATTTTACCTAACAACAAAGTTAAAGGTAGTTGAAGCTTTGACTCTGCTTTAACTTTTAAATGTGGCTTGATCTGAACCGACCATCTTGACATAAAAGTCAATTAAACAAATAAAAAGGCAATTGAAATTTACCCGTAAGCATTATTTATTCGAACTGGAAGCTATTGGCTCGAAAAATAATGGAAGCGCCTGCGGTTTCTTAATTAGAGTAAGTCATTACAATTGAATAATTTCAATTTACGTTCATTAATTGACGTATGCACATACTTTTTTCTTTTTAACTAATACAATAGTTCGTTTATTTTGTAGCCTGTACGTTGAAGAGATTGAATACGAGTATATTCCATTTGCTCACTGTTTTTATTTGAAGGCAAAATGGTAAGCAAATTACAATTGTTAAATATTTAGAATTGGGCGGTTTTTTATTTTTATGTTGCACTACAAACTGGATTATTCAGTATTCGCATCTGCTTGTGGTTTGGAATCGGCGTCCTCTAAAGGACCCGATGGAGTCACTTCATTCGGAATTTCCTGGACTTCCTTCGCATCCGATCCGCCTTCATCCGAACCATTTGCCGTTGGTTCCTGCTGTTCACCTGCATTACTCTTTTCCGGGTCCCACCAAGCTTCCACGAATTCTTCAGCGGATAGTGAATCCTCATCCTTGCCGCAACTCTTTATTCGTCTGCAGCCTCCATTGTTCCGCACGATTGAGCCGTCGATACATCCGCATCCTTTCTCGCAGAGATGAATGCACTCAGCTGGGTTATCCTTGCATCCCTTGCTACAGTATGAATAGCAATCTGGGAAACTGTTTTTGCTGCATATCCTGTGAGCGATCTTGTGATCATAGGCACCAATTTCCAGGATAATCTGGTTGAAGAGGACCACCAAAATAATAAGTTTCATGTCAAGAGCCAAGCAGAACAGAAATGAGATCAGGGTGAGACTTCAGCCAATTACTAAATCGAATAATGAGTGGAACGAACTGATTACTAATTACGACCAATTACTAAAGAGTATGTCGCATTTCGAATACTTTACTCTGAAAGATATTTTATAAAATTTCATAAAATAACTTTTATTATACCCGTTACTCGTGCATAAAAGGGTTTACTAGATTCGTTGAAAAGTATGTAACAGGCAGAAGAAGCGTTTCCGGCCATAAAAAGTATATATATTCTTGATCAGAGGTTGATAATAAGTTATTTTCAAACATGCTTTAGTTTTTTGGAGTTTTAAATTATTGTTTTATTTATTTTCTATAACACAGCGAAGGTAGTTTACATTCAACAGTAGAACAGTTCAACAGTATTCTTGAAGAATAATTTTCGAAATCGTTTCACCAAATTTCACAAAGTTTGACAGAGTTCCTTTAGAACAATCTTCAAATTTTCGAGCCCAAGGCACTGCAACTGTTTTCCACAGATGCCTGCCAGCTTTGGTTAAACATGTATCTTCTCCAACAATTTAATTTTCTGCCTATTTCTGGGCAAGATTAAGACACGGTTCTCGAGAGAAACCTCTTCGAAATCGTTTCTCAGCTTTTGTATGGCACTGCAACTGTATATTAGCTGTCTGCCTTCTTTTGAGTGAATAATCCTTGAAGGTCCTGATGCACTGCAGCGGATTCGGCGCTGCCTGCAACTCCTTGTGACTTGGTCAGCATCATCTTTCGGATTAGATCGCTTTCTTAATCCCTTGGCGGAGGTCCACGGGGTCTGAGCACTGTCTCGAGTAGATTAGGGCCTGGTTGATTCTTCGGCCTGGGAGTGGGCGTCAGGGAGCGGGTGTGTGGAGCCAGTTCATCCTTCTTGTGCACAGCTGAGGTAGCTGCACGTCTCGCCCGAATCTTCTCCTCCATTTTGCTTGGCACCATGAAGCAGTTCGACTCCTTGTAGACAGGCTTGCGACGATCGTTCCAGGGGAACGTCCACTGAATGGGTGTGAAGTCACGGCGCCACGGCTTCCTGGGCTTAAACCAGCAATCGCAGGTCCAGTCCTCCTCACCGGGCGCATCGTCATCGCTATAGATTGAGATCAGTTAAGAAATCATGGTGTACTGGACATGGTGTAAAGATAAATGTTAAACTCACCCTCTAACATAGACGCGAACGTATCGCGAATTCTTTCGGAACATTTGAAGGGCCTCATTGAAGGTCATCTCCAGGGCCGGCACATCATTGATCTGGGTGATCTCGTCGCCCACCCGCATTCCTCCTCTCTTTGCCAGACCAGTGGGTGACACATTCACAATGGTCAGCGGCTCGAACTGGTCAATGCCGCCAGTGACCTCCATGCCCCACATGGCGTCGTAGAAGCTCATGATCCGGCGATCCGTCTCCAGGGTGTAGGTCATCTGCAGCTCGTACGCAACATTGTCGAATGCATCCGAGTCGTACTTGGGCACCTTAATCTTTGAGTCAAACATTGTGGCGAACTCAACAGTAAGTGTGGCCCCTAGAAATTGGTAAGATGAAACTGAATCCCAAGCCGGTTGAAACGGACCGAAGGTACTTTATCGTCTGGCGCTGCTCGAATTGGCCACTTGCTTTTATAGCCAATAATTTGGCAACAAAACGGATGCGGATACAGGGACAATGTCAAGGGGTTTACCAAATGGGCGTGCCAAGTACAGGCAAAAGTGCCTAAAATATAATCAAAACCAAGAATACAAATATTTTAGTAATTAGCGATCTATAAACGATTTATAGTACATTTTTAATCAAAGTAAGTTTTAGGTATTCCTAATATTCAGGGGTATAACCTAGTATAACTTATTTACTCTCTTGTACTAGCAAGCATTGCCTACTGTGTATTGGGGAAAATCAATGCAATTGATTTGCATTTAATTGTTGTCTATTTTTAGTGGCAGTGATTTTGGCTGACGGAAACAAAAGCCAAACAAAGCGGCCAACAACGAGGAAGATCCCATGGCCGCTTTTGGCCACTGAAAGTGGAGCCGACTCGAGAGCCCAGGGAGCAGCCAAGCAGCTCCAAGTCCAGTTCCTCCACACACCGCTGGGCAAGTGCTAACCACATGGTGGGAGCTATTTGATTTCACTGACCTCAATTATGGCTGCAACCGAGATGGGCCGAGATGGTCCGAGATGGTCCGAGGTTGGCCAGTTGGGAGACCCTCGGACCAGCGGCTTCTGCTGCCGAACTATTGAATTATTCATTTTGAAAATGGTAGAAAACGATGGGAGCAGAGAAACCCGCCAGCAAAAGACCATAAAATGGTATTGCCGGGGGAGCAGCGGCCAAATGGCAAATGGCAAAGAGTAGCGACAACTTGCCTAATTACAGCAGATACTCTGGCATGGATGTGCGGCCTTCAAAAGTTGGTATACTCCATATCCTCATCCTCATCGTCTCCCTCCAGAAGCACTTAGCAGCTTGTCGGGGCTTATGCAATGGCATTCTGCGTGGGATTTGCATCACTGAGCATGGCCAGCTTTGGCTGTCATGGAATTTCATAGCCATATAATGCAAAGGATTTCGACCATGGAATTGAGGTAATTACTTAGCAGGTGTTGCAGGCAAGTGGAGCCCTTGTTTTCGTAGTTATCTTGCATTTAGTCACGTTTCCAGTGCAAAATTTCAGACATATAATTGCTTCTGGGGCTTATCTATAAATGAGCCAGTCACGATTCCATGTCTCTGTGCTTTATAAATAGGTCTAACTGAATCGCACTTTCAACTAACTGGCAATGAAGCTTTTCCTACGTCTGCGTAAGTATTGCATGTACCACAATAACAGCCTTTTTTAATGTTTAACATCATTTCAATTTAATGTAGTACTCTTTACTCTAGTACTGATCCTGTCCGACGAACAGAAGTTAAATCGAATTTTGTATATAAAAAAACGTATTATCAGTTAACATGTAAAGTTAATAATCAGTACTTTTAAATACAGTTGGTTGTATTTAACTTCTCCCAAGACCTTTTTTAATAAATGTTGCTCAGATTGGCTTAATGAAAATTGTCTACATCTTTAATTGTTTTAATTTGAATTTTCTAGAATCAGCATGTATGGAATTAAAGAATTAAGGTGGTTCTGGTCCGTTTGCTTGGCCAGGCAAACTTTCGGCATACTCTGAACATTTATTCAAACTATAAATAGCGTGGTTGTCTTACTCCTCAAAGCACCTCAGGCTGTCAAACTTGGCTATAATCGGTCTGATCAGTCCGACTCCGGTGGTAAAGGTTTGGACAAGGCATTCCGGTCGATCGTATATCGCCTTCTTGGCGAATTGATGGGCCACCCTGATAAATCTTAGAATACTGCCAGTTAGTTTGATTTTGGGCTGAAAGTCAACGCATTCCGATAGGAGCCTTATGGCCGTTACGGAGTTTTCGATCATCAGGGCGCCGGCATCAGTCACCACTTCCAAACACCGCAGATAGTGGTCGAGTTCCGAACTTATTGCGGCTTGAACTTGCGACCTATGGGCCAGCTGAATGGCAAAATGGTTGAGAAATAATCCGGTTCAAGGTCGGCGTACTTACAGCCAAAAAGCTCAGTAAAAAGGCAATCTTAATCAAATGCATCGGGATTCTTTTTCCGGCAGCTTTTGATCCAACATTGTGGGCCATGTGGAAATCTTGCTCTATATATAGGCCTCAGGATAATCGCTTTAGTAATGCTGTCGAGCATCACTGATACCCAAAATCTGGTTGTAATCCGAAGCTAATATTACTAATTTGCAGACCGTCACTGCAACTTTTTCTTATTAATCAAGCTCCTTTTCATCTAATCGAATGTATTAAATGGAATCACAGACCTTGAATATTTGGGCGACTTTTACCTCAAACTCGCAAACGTAAACGTTTTGTAAAAGTATACCTTATAAAAAATACATTTTTTGCTGACATTTGAGATCCCATATTGCTCTCGGTTTATTTTTGTATGTGCACACTGTATCTTTAAATGATATAATCTTCTTCGTCCAAGCAACCTAGTACCGATATCTGTTCGGCAAAAGGTTTGATTGTAAAAGCTAACTTGTTCAGAAGACTGTGCAGACATCTGGGTTCGTCAAAGACCAGTTTCTTGAAGAATTCATAGGATATCTTTAGGTACCAGGTAACCCTTCTCTGTTTGCCGTTCGGCGGCTCCAAAAAAACGAATCCGGAGCATTGTGACAACTCATATACGGTCGGGACAATTTTGTTGGCCAGGGTGGTCAGTGTTTGGATGCCCACATGAGTACATTTTCCCAGCTTACTCCAGGTTTCACTTATAGTGGCCTGCGCCACAGTTTCTCGGGGGATAAGCAAGACCTGCGAAGAGTGGTAAGTATATGCAAATATTCTGCAGAATATAGATTCAGTGAGCCATATGTACTCACAGCCAAAAAACTGAGCAAAAATACGGACTTCATCCCGCTCATTATTCTGTTTTCAGCGGCGATTACAACCAGAAAAAACTTAGCATATGTATGAGAAGGGCTGTCCTATATATAGGATTACATGCTAATTTTAATTTCATCCACCCAGGCAGCGCTAAAAAAATTGGTTACAGTTTAAATACATGATACATTTTGTGCTTAATACTTGTCAAGGCGTTTAGGAGTAAATCAACAGAATAATTTGTCTCGCGTATAAAATATTTTGGACAATTGAATTATTATATTTGTTTAAATATGCAAACAGAAATGAGTTAATGAATTAATTGACAATTTGATAAAAATACTAAAATTAACGATTAAAAAAATCGGCTATCTATTATAATAACATTGTCGATGAATAAACGCGCTAAATGTAAATTCAATCTCACTTGAAAGGTCTATAGGGATGAAAATAAAAACATTGTATTCTTGATTTTTGTGCTCTATTAATGCTCAGAAGTTTATTTTCTCGTGGACAGTATTTATCGACCCAAGCAATTGCTGGTCTCAAGCGATTTTACATAGGGCCTCAGTATTTTCACGGATTCCTTTAGGGGCGCAAGCAAACACTGGGACTTTTCAAACGCACCTCGCCTAAGAAGCTCGTAGTATAACTTAAGTTTTGAAAGGTAAGAAGTTCCGATATTGGCGGGTGGGTTGAAGTCAACACAGTTCAGCAGAGTACGAACAGTTGGGATTGTTTCTCTCAGTAGACTGGCAACCGCTTTAGCACCAATTTTGCTGCATGATAGCCAATTCTCCCATGCTAGATTTTGCGCCTTGGTTTGGCCCACAAACACGAGCTGTCATGTGGAGTTTAACGATTATAATGCATTACAATAGTATATCAAATTAGTCCACTTACAGCCAGTAAGCTGAACACCAGTGTGACCCTTATCAGTTTCATTGTGACCCTTATCTGTGTGCTTTCCACTAAGCGGCTGAAGTACAAACTTTCGCAGCCCCTGGCTTTCATGCCCTATTTATAGGCCTCAGGATAATCGCATCCGCACGGTCTATTAGCAGCTTTAAAAACAGATTTTACACTTCAAAGTGAGTGCACATTTTCTTGATTTTCTGGCTATTGTTAATCGTTTTTGCATGTTTATTAAAATTTTATATAATAACATTTTAACAAAGTTTGCAGGGAGGCATATGATTAAAATTGGGCTTTCCTTTTCGGTATCTTTATAATTATGACTTAGATTAAATAGATTTTAACGCCTGAATGATCATCTCTGCATATTCATCGTATTCCGATGGTTCACATAAGTGATATTACTAATAAGATACATCACTTAAAAGAAGTACATCCATCTCAGTGGCAAAATTGACAATTTAAAAACAAAATATAGATTCTCAATATGTATACATCGTTTATTAGAGAACCGCAAATTGATTTGGCTGAACGATTTTAAGCATATGCAAATGAAATGCACTTCGCTCTAATAATCTTGTCAATGTGTGGCGACACAGCCTCGTAGGAATCTTTCAAGGAGACCAGAAGGCATTTCTGGTTGTTCATGATCTTTTGCAGATATTGAAAGCCTATCAGGGCCAGAGCGGTGATATCAAGGTCCTTAGTCTTCATGGGTTTAAAGTCAGCGCACGCTGCCAGTTTCTTTACACATGGTATCAACCTCGAGATCAACGTGGCGGCTGCTTTCAATCCCGGTTCTCCGCACTCCTCAAGCTTATTAAGATCTAGTTTGAAGGACTCCACTTCGCTTGGCAGCAAGGATCCCAGCAGCTTCACGGTTTAAAAATGGTGGTGAGTGAATACTTTTAAGCAAACATTGGAACTTACAAGCACGCTTAAGGCGATATATAAGACCTGATTATTCCTCATGGCCGATTCAGTGAATACAGAGGAATGCACTAAACTTAACGCCATTTATATAGTTTCAGAGAGTAAGACTGTAAAGTGTTTAACTACGCTCGTTTGCGACTTAAAGGTGCTGAGAAAAATCAAATTAACGTTTAAGCCTGCTGTACACTTCGAATATTTCGCGTCAATATAAGCCACATTTTCAGAAAACAACTCCATCTTACCTTTCTGCGAATTCTTGTTTAGTGAACATAAACCAACCCGAAGTTACAGATTTTATTTAAAGCCGTTTTATTTTATATTTCTTTAATAGTGATACGCCCTGGCGAATATCAATTTGTTTTGGATTATACATACACATAGCATAGGTTTTCCCTCATTTTCTTCGCGTTGGTTCTGCCCTTTTCGTATTCATCTGTCATTGGAAACGGCTGCCAGGCAATCATCTCTTACATACATTGATATATAGCCGATGTACATATTTAAATCGATTTTGAAATGTATTGTACCATATACGCATATATAAGTTGAGTTTCTTGCTCGTTAACTCGCTTCGCTAATATATAGCATTATATATTTGGTGTGTGCAATTTCTTGTTGGTAAATTCAAACTGGGCCAAAATAGGTTATTACATAGATATCATATAATATGCTTGTAAAATGATTATTGTAATTACAATTCTCTAATATGTTACAATTGGAAATTAATTCAATAGTTTAACAAATGTTTACATTTTGCTACAATTAACTCAAACCCAAAACGCCGACTCAGTACCGAAACGATTTCTAAAAGAATACGTATTACCCGATCCAGCAACGATCTCTTAACGTTCCGTGTCCCTTTGCCGACACAAACGAAAGCGATCCCTTCAACAACTTTGGGAGCTTCGAGGCTTGTGATCCTGGCACAAGTGAAGCTCCAATTGATCCATTAACCTGACCTAAGCTCGTGCATCAACTGATAGCGAAACGCAAATGAAATTCAAAATTCTTTTCGCAAGCAAAGCAAAATGTGGGTTTCATTTCTTAGTTGGGAAATATACAGGTGGCCATTGCGTACTAGTTTAAGACTCTTATCAAAACTACAATTGGTTGTTCCGTAACGTGTTGCTTGAAGCTTTAGCAGGTGGTTCCGAGAGGGAGCATTATTGAAGCGAAACTGTCTGGTATTTTTGGGGAGTTTGTGGGGGGAGAAGCCTTAAAAGCCGTCAACAGTTGACAATGTGGGGCAGCTGATTAAGAGCAGCGCCGATTTCATGGTTCGTAACTCTGGTGTGTAAAATAGTTTCATTCGCATATAGTTCTGTTTGCTTGTATATATATAGATCTAACAATAATCGTTACTTTTATAGAGATTTCGCAATTCTGCTGAGCTTATACCTCACGACTCCTATATCCTATATACTGTACGGTCTTTCTTTAACACACACATATTTTTGGTATCATAATTTTCTCTGGCGTTTACCTGCTCTTTTTAAGTTAAACAATACAAGTACATGAAAATTTGTGTATAAACAGCAAATATATAGGGTTTTATACATTAATTCATTACATATAGTTCCTCATTTATATATATGTCTGTATTTTGCTTTTGTTTGCTCCATTAAAATGCATATACGTGTGTGTTTGTTTGCATTACAAGCTTTACATATTTGTCGCATACTTGAGAAAAAATACATACTCTAACTGATCAACATAATATCACGTGGGAACTGAAACTAAAGTGTCCGTTAACTAATTCCAAATATTTATACAATTGAATCAAACGAAGGCTATTTACAAAATTGTCCAATAAACCTAACCGAAGAGGGTTCTAAAAAGTAGGCTACCGTATCGGATTGGAGCTGCTAGTGCCTACTCTTTCGGCCGTGGCCAACTAATCACGAAATACATAATAATCCATAAACTGGTTGTTGAACTACTTAATAATTACGTACGCTTTGCATTTGGTTTCTTTCTGCTCATTATCTCTGATTTTTGCATTCGATTAAGATGTGCTTCCTCAGCAACAATCATCTATTCTATTTTCCTCTTCCGATGGAATCCTCCAAGCTATATCAATCAGTTGCCAGCTGCTGACCCTGCCATGTGCTGTGATCTCCGCCCGACCAGTCGTCTGGCGATACTCAGGCGCTGCAGCCAGCCATAGCCTGCGTCTCAGTAAACCAAAACGGACTCCATCGTGATCGTATCTCATTTGCTCGCACTGTTGGCGTTCGCCGCATTGGTGGCCTGGATCTGGGAAGCTGTCTGGCTGGCCGGCTCCAAAGTCCGTCGCGCCAGGCGGGATCTATTAGCCATACGTGTATGTCATGATTAGTATTTTGAAAATGCTATACTCAGTTTCCCACTTACTTTATCTGCCCAGCAAGCAATGGGTTGATAGCATATAGCCAGTCGTGTACTTCCTTGTCGCCAAGAGTCTGCAGCAGATAGCCACGATGCTTGGTCACCACACTGAAGAGAAATCGATGTAAAAATTAGCAATGCGGGCCTGCTTCCAAAGTAGAATCAAACCGACCTGAATGTGTTGGGTATCTTGACCATGGCCGCCTGGTCCTCGCTGCACTCCACATGCGCAGTGGCCAGATTGAGGACAGCCCGTTCAACGGGATCCTTCTCCGAGCGGTAGATAAACACGTAAGGACGACGGACGATCTATCACAAAAATATAAAAATCAGACTTTTCTCATTTAAAATCATGAAATATTGAATGCATACCACCCAGCGCTTCTTCCAGCCGGAACCGCCGTGCTCCAGGACGTTCAACAGACCCTTGCGGGCCACCACAGGACTCACGCGAATCTCTTCCAGTTCCGGCACATAGAGACGGAGGGGAAGAGCCGGCTGAGTAGCCGGAGCAGGTGCCTCCCAGCCGTTGGGAGCATCAGCTCGATCCGGTGAACATAATCTGATTGGGGAAGGTACAAGTCGTTAGTCAAAAGTCTGGCCTTAAAGTTGGTTTAGATTTAGGTTCTCTGGATAGAACGGAAAATTACCTGCGTCGAATTACAAATTTGTTGTTTCTAATTGTGTAAAAGAAAACCGAAAGGAAAACAAACAAATAAAGTATTGGAAGTTTCGTTTTTGAGTATCTCGAGTTATTAGGAAAATGAATGGTGGTGTGTGGATATCGTTAGTATTTGCACTGCGATGATCGAATGGTGGGCAATTACAGGGAAACAGCTGGCAGCAGAAGCAATAAAGGGTGGAAAACAAGTGCAAATGCTTGGTAATAGCTTCAGTTGCTTTTGATTTGTAGGATGGCTCGGTTAAAATCTCTCTGCTTGCTGCTGCTGCCGGCCTTACTGATGAATTCGGTCACGTCAACTGACGACGAGGATCATGTCGTTAACCATGATGTGGACCCGGATCCGGGTCGCATAAAGTACATATGGAATCCGTTTCTGGGCTTTTGCGGCGAGAATGCCAGCATGGTGAGGTGCGGTGGAGTCTGTCCCGAAACCTGTGCCTTCAAATCGCTCAGGTGTCCCAAGTATTGCGGTGTAAATTGCGCATGCAAACCTCGCTATGTCTATAGCGAACAGTTGAATCTGTGCATCCTAAAATCTGATTGTCCTAAAGACATCGAGCAAAAGGTTGTGGAAACTCATCGTGTTTTCCAGTAAAGGCCAGAATCATTTCTGTGTTATAAAAATAAAATAAACTAATGTTTGCAACTGAAGTGATATAAGTAGTTTACTGTTCCAGAAGTCTTGCGGCGAAATAGTAGTGCTTTGTGACCCTAACCAATTGCCATTTCACAGAAATTCAGACCCAGTTCTGTTTTCCTTCATGTGGAACAGTTTTAAACACAGCTTATTATTTCTCAACGATGGCATGTCTGAAGGCCTTTTCTGTCGTACAGCTAATCGGATTTATCCTGCTAAAACATGTACTGAAGGCAGAAGAAACTACAGAGGCCCAGATTACCTGGCCGGATGACATTGCCGAGGGCACATTGGAATCTGAGGTTACCTGGCCCAATGAACTTCCAGTAACAGAAACGATTGCCATGACCTATCGCACCGCTCGAACCTTGGATCAATTGGATGCGTTGAGGGACTATGACGAGTTCGTGGAGAAACCGAGTAAAAACATTTATAACGAATTTGATAGCCGGGAGAAAAAATACCGCATCGTTGATCCCATAAGTGAAGCAAAAGCCCTCAAACGGAAGCCGCTTCCTGAGACCGAGTATATCAGGCAGCCCTTCAAATTCGGCTGCTGTCACAACTCCACCAATGTGGGATGTGCTGGCGTTTGTCCGGAGACGTGTGAGTACCGCTCCAAATACTGCGTACCGCTTTGCGGTCCGCCCTGTCGCTGTAAGCGCGGATTTGTCTACAATATTCCGCGAAGCGCCTGCATCCTGCGCTCCGACTGTCCCAAGGGGATCGTTCAGAGTAAGAGCGGGATATACAGGGTATTTTTGTGAGGTGGAAGATGTGATAGGGTGAGTTGGGTTAGTGTGGTGGTCTGATACATGCAGTGGGTGTGCTGTGGTGTCGTGCCAATTTCGTTTGTTCCAATAAACCAAGAAAGCCGAATGGATGCAAGCTAACTAAGATGGGTGGTGCTGGTGTGGTGTTCATACGGTTGGTTAAACGACTACTCACTCCATGGAATTGCTGGAGATGCAGCTGACGGTCATGTCGGCACATCCCTCATCGCTGGGCGAAACATCCGACTGGGTTTGCGTATCGTTGGTCTCGCTCTTAGTATAGCGTCCTTAAATAAATTGAGAATACATATTAGAGCGACTAGGACGCTTGGTAAAGCTCAGCTTCAACTCACCCTGCACCAACTTTAAGCATTTGAGCATGAGATCCTGCTCCCGTTGGTTGTACTCGCGTTCTGGAATGATTTGCTGTGGATCCTTGACCGGAGTCTGCGGCGATTGTGGAATGACCATATGTACGGGTGATGTTGCTGCCCGAGCGGCTAGATTGCATACATCCTTCTCGGTCTTGGTGGTCGGATTCGGGTTGGTGTCCATGCCCAGACGTTCGCGCAGCAGAAGCAGGTGCCGCATGCGTCCAACCTCTTCAAGTCTGGTGAGTTTCTCCAGCTCCCACTGGTGGTCAAAGATCAGGGAGTCACCCCTTGGCCTCCAGCCGTGAAGATTCTCCTCACCGCGCACGTAAGTAGAGCTGGTGTCCAGCACTCGACGTTGACGCCTTTGTACACCTGTAAGGGCACCAACAGAATGAGTGAATGGAGGTCAGCTCTGGGGATTCGACAAGCGAGTGCAAGCGGACTGAGTACGAGTACAACTACATTGAGAATTGCTACCTGGACTACCTGCTTCGGATGCTCTGCGCAGTGCCAGCTCGTAGACCCCGGTGAGGCGATTGGCCTCCGGATTGCGGTACTGTCCCGAAAACAGATGCTTCAGGGAGCGCGGTCCGGTGCGGGCGTCTCGTCCATAGATTACCATGCTCAGGTCCTTGGTAATTATGGCCGGGCGGGCGCAGTTCTCCAACTAAGCAGAACATACACATTAAAACTGGTATTTCAATTAAAATATACAAACTTACCTCCAAGTAAGCGCTCAGGGTGATGTAGATGGTCTCACCGCCTTGAGAAACGCGGTTGAGCAGTGCGGAGTTGTGCAGACTCGAGTCCCAGGCAGCCTCAAACCGGTAGAAAGATCTATCATCTCCAGGCACCTCCAAGGCCTCGCCTGGGAACAAGCCCAAAGACAAGACACAGGCGTCCTCATCCTGCTCATCGGATGACTCCGGAGTATTGCGAATGCGTCCCACCACCAACTCATTGATGTCCTTCCACTTCACCTCTGCTGTGGGCTCATGCACAATGGTAATGCGAATGCGCCGCTGGATGCCCTGATGCAAGAGGAACAGTCCGCGACAGGGAAGATCATCGCTGTGCTCCACCACCTGTTTAAAAAGTGCATTTTCGATTATTACGTGGGAGACTGGGATGATTAAATCTGTGCCATACTAACCGATGGCACATATTCTCCGTTGGGAGCCAATTCACAGATCTCAAACCAAACCAGAACATCGTGCTTAGCCAAAACCGTAGACGTGGGTGCACAAGGTAGGGGTCCAAACTTGGGACTACGCACTGGCTGACTGATCGGTATACTCGGTGGCAACATGCGGCGTGGTGGTGGCCGGGAAACGAACTCCTGCTTGGCATCCTTATGCAATGGGTGCGTCTGGTAGTGGCCAAAGATCTTAAACATGATGGGTTGGGTCTTCAAATACTCGATAAAGGATTTGGTTACCGGTACAGTTATCTGCAGAACAGACACCAAATACATTTTCATTATTAACTGATATGGTGGGAAACTCTTCGTATGGTAATCTTCCACTTACGTTCTGTACATGGTAGAAGCCTAGAGGAGCACCCGATGCCGAGTTCTTAACCGGCTCGGTGGAGAACGCCTCCTCATGGCGATGCAAAAAGCTGTAAAGTTGACCGTTTATGTACCACAAACTTTAAGTTAATTTTCAAAAGTTTACTTACTTGAACTGGCAGAAGATATCGGCATATTCAGCCCCAATACCAGTGGCCTGGAGAACAGTGACCCGGAAGGTGAACTCCTTGCCCACCTGCAGGTGCTCGCCAGGCTCTTCGGAATTTTCATGGCACTCAGAGGCGGAGTTGGAGTCGATGCCACGACCAGAATCCACATCCTCAAGTTCTATTACAAATAAAAAAGAAAAACTTGTAGTGATACTAGTTATGTATGGTCCGTAGAAACTCACCCTCCAACTTGCTGTCCAAACCACCATTGTCAATATAGCGCTGCACATCATCCTTTTCATTGAGAGCTCGGTACTTGGGCTTGGCATCATCCTCGTTGAAAACCAAGCGAGCTGACTGCTTGACACCATTATTGAAATCAATGGACTCCTCATCGAGAACAGGTTGCACAGCAATCCTTAGATAGCCACGCACATCTCCGCGTTCATTGACAATGGCCACCTTGTGGACCAATGGCACTGGGTAGAGCAGGTTGCTCAGATAGATGAAGGAGCGACCCACCATGCGGAACCAGGGGAAGCGATCGTAGAAGGGATCTCCACCAGTGAGGCTCTCCACATTGTAGTCCGGGGAAGTGGGACTCATTTCGGCCTCGTTGTGGTACATCTCGCGCATCAGTTCCAAACGTTGCCTGAAAGCCAGATTCAAGAAATTAGAATCAAATGTTAACACTCATTTGTATGGGTATATACATATTATTAAGATATTGCATAGATAGAGAAGTGCGGGAACAGCGCCACAGCAAGCGTAAGCCCATCCGAGATCAGAAGATAGTATGGAAAGCCATGCAACTACAACTAAGGATATTTTCTACACGTCTATATACAAATGAAACCTGCGGTCAAAGCGAACCTAGAGGGTATCAGATTGGCCAATGTAAGACGGCCCCGTTCGCTTTCGACTGGTGGCTCCACTGGGAGCAGCTGCGGCTGCTGTCCAGGATGTTGGCTGGGTGGTGCGATCCATCCGCTCAATGCCTCCATGCCGGACGTATCGAACAGCATGGACGATGGTGGACTCTCGACATTGTATATCTGTCGCATCAGCTCGAGGCGATAGCTTGTTTGTGTACGAAAATGAGTTTGGATGGGATTCGGGTTCAGGAATTGTCGGAGTGGGTTCGGGATTCGTAGTAAAAGAACCGAAAAAGTACAAATCAACATTGGTTCAAACAGACCTAGCAAGCTGTCGGAGCTCTTAACAAATGATGGCTATGAGACTTGAGGCGTAAATGGTGGCGGCGTGATCTTCGTTTTGTTTACAGCCAAAGTAAAAAATGAACCAACACATTCTAGAGCGTTTGATAGAAACTAGAATCCATAAGCTACAACCACCATGCACGTATTATTCAAATAATATTCAACTCAAATCAAAAGCCAGCTTTTTTAATTTGAACCAAAGTGCATAGAAGAATGAATGTGAGGGAGTAGCAGGAATTCGCCTGGAGTTCCGGATATGAAAGAGCTTACCGTAACTTCTCCAGGGACCAGTGGTGAGTTGCTCCATTCTTGGTATCAGTAACTTCGACGGCCACCAAGGTTTTAGAGACAGGCGGAGCTCCGAACTCATCCTCCTGATGCAGAGGAGCCACACTGGAGGCCAGCTCAGGCGGCAAAGGGGAGTACAAGGTGTCGGTCAAGAGAGTAAATTGGAATTGTACCTGAAATGATTCGAGTATTTCAAATATAATAAGTTATCTATATAAATTTGGGGTCAACACTGTACCTTTTTCTTCAGCTCGACGGAAATGGCATTGGCTTCCTTGAGGAATATAGCATTGCCCCAGAGATCGTCTCGCAAAGAAGTGAATTGGTGGTAGCGCCACTTGCGGAAGGCCCAGGCAGCCAAGCCAGCCTCTCTTGCTGTCCAGCAGGACTCGTACATTGGGTTGGCTAAGGATTAGAGAATAATTAGTACACTGTTGTCTCAATCTTGTTGTCATCCACATACTGTAGACGTCCTCCTCCTGGTGGAAATCCTCCGGCGAGTAGCTGCTGTACATGGACATGGTCATGGATTGCTCCTCCACCTGTTTCTGCAGAGCATCGATGCGAGCCTCGTACGTTTTGCGCTGCTCCTCGAACTGCTGATCGGCCTGAAGTTTCTCCCGCTTGTACTGCTCCTCCAAGTTGTCCAAGCGCTTCTTCATTTCAGCTTTGAGATCAATGCCTTGCTTTTCGAGCAATTCGCACTGGGCAAAGTTCCAGTCCACCTGCTGGGTGTCTGTCTTCTCCACTTCGTTCTCTGCCTCATTTTCGGTCTCGATCTTATCCCGCAGTTCGCGTGCCTGTTCCGGATTGGTAAAGCGGAACACGTGGTTCTTTCCCAGGATCACACGAGAACCGGTTTTAAGAACCTCCGGCTCAACCAATTTGCGTCCATTTACATAGATGATGGCATCCTTGTGCGGCAGCAGGGTCACCGTGCTGTTCTTGTTCTCAAAGGTGCAGTGCTCCTTGAGGATGTGCGAGCCGGAGAGCTGAATGTCCTGGGGAACATTGGCTTCATGAGTGCCCAGCCGAGTGAGACCCTCCTTGATGTAGTAAAGCAGACACTCTGAGAGATTGGGATCCTCGTTTAGGTTGACCAAATGCGGTGTCTTCTTCGGCGAGAACACGCCCACTGTTATGCCGTCTTCCTTGACAGCCACGCCCATTTCGGCGAAAACCGCCTCCCGCTGCACGCGGATCTCCTCGGTGCGCTTAAGTTTCTCCTCCCAGGTCTCGTTGAGCTCTGCAAAGGATTATAGCCAATTAAAGATTCATATTTTAATGATCACGTTTGGTAAAAGAGCGTTAGATGATCCACACTCACCTGCAATGAGTTTCTCGCTGGCCTGCAGCTGATCCACAGCCATCTCCGTTGTGGATCCATTGCGATTACGTGACTTTGTGGGCGACTTGATCACCGTGGACTTGGTGAGCTCATCCTCTGTAAAAGCAAAAGAGGCATCAGAACAAGGAACACCTGACCATTTACCGGGTACAAGCGCAGTGATAAGCGTGCTAGTTTTTAAAGGTATGATATATATAAAGATATATTGGATATACATAAATGTTCACAATATTTGGATACGAAACGAAGCAGATGCCAATGGAATATGGGTATTTAGGGACTACTGCATAACTCGGGCATGTCCACTTTCCAGCCTTAAAGCAGTGCGGACTGCGAGGAGTTTGGTGCCAGTCTTATTTTGGACTTGGGCAACTGAAATTAACTATTTAGATACTTCTTTCAGTCTCTTTTGTGTATATAAGGCAACATAAAGAGGACTCGACGGTGAATATTGTATATTGTATGGGTTATATTAGATTTGATTCGTCCTTAAGCGTATTGTTTAGAAGCTTTGACGATACAGCACAATACAGAGGCACACACAGAGAGAAATACTGCCAATAGGGCAGTGGTTAGATTACAATATCAGTGCGTTTTAAAACTTTAAATGAAATGCGAGGAAGATTCACGATATTTACTTTATAAAGTCATGATGTTTTTCATGAAATAGTAAAGAATATATATTTTTTAACAAATATAGTCTCGCATCAAGCTCTGAAACGCACTGTAACTTTTTGCATATTTATTGAATAACATTTGTTGCATGTGAAGCCTTTGGTTTTTATAGCGCTGAGTTTCAAATGACTTTACTTACTATTAGCATCGCGCTTCTCACACACCACTTTGCCATCGGGTCCTAAACGAAATAGGTTTGGTTTTGGGATCGGTTTTGCTTTTCTCTAGTATAACTAGACTAGGACTAGAACTACCTTAGGCAGGGGTTGTTGGTTTGTTTTTCAAGTGTAGCGAAAGGTTTTAGAATGTGTGGCTGGGTTTAATGTACTCTAGCTTAGTTAAATACATATTTTAACCAGATCTAGACTAGGTAAGACTACTTCCAACTTACCTTCCTGCACTTCAATGCCCTCGGCTTTGAGTAAGTCCCGCAGCTTCTGGATCTCCTCCTTAAGTTCGCGAATCAGCTTGGCATTTGCATCTTCATTGACCACAGCCTTGCACACGATTTGCTTGGCACGATCCGCATAGCTGTGAAATATTGGTTTAAACCATTGGTTCTTCACCTCAACTTATTGATAAAGACAACTTACCGCAGTGTGCTGAGCGTTTCATCATAGTTAATATCTGCTGGTGAGATAGCCGCAATCATAGCTGTCTTTGAGTTTCCGCCCAGGTTTTCACGTAACAGCCAGGTCAAGGCCGAATCACGGTAGGGAATGAAATCTGCCTTTTTGGTGTTCTTCTTCTTGGAAGCCTTCCACAAGTAATAAATATATTAGCAACAATAGAGGGTTTGTACAAATTTAGTTAAACTTACAGACTATAAAGTACCCAGGCAGCAGGAAAAGGCATTTATTTTATTAGCATAAAGTTAGTTAGAACTTCGGATATTGACATTGATAACTTACCACTTCCGCTAAAGCTGAAATAACTTTGCCCAGTGTGGTCAAGGACTTGTTAATGTTGGCTCCCTCCTTCAAGCGGGTGCCCTTGGCTCCAGTGGAATCCGCTCGTTCCGACCCGGCCAAGTCCACCAAGCTAATCTTGGATACCTTTTCTGTGGTCAAATTGGTCATAAGGTCATGACGACGTTGGGTAAAGAAGATTGTAAAGACTGCATGAGAGCGGGAACTGGTTTCGTTCATGTTGGTGGCTGCCACAGTTCTGAAATTGGTTAAATAAAATAAGTTCCTTGATAAGATCATGTGATGCAAAACACAATTATAATAACACCCACCGAGCCTTGTTGCCTTCATCAATGAGATCGTGAATGTCCTGGTAATCGGTAACGGCTAGCTTGGACAGATCCTCCACATAGGGACCCAAAAGGGGATGTTCCCTCACACGCAGATTGCCCTTGTTTTTCGGGTTCAGCAGATCCCGGACTCGCTCGCAATAGATTTCCATATAGGACACCTCAACCTAAAGAAATTGTTAGGTTAGACGCTAGGAATGTGAGATTGCTATGAAGACGCACCGAGTACTTGAGGTCATCGGTCTCGGTATCCTGGATGCGAGTGAACAGATCCTTGCATATCATGGGTATTATGCCCTCTTGCTGCTCCTCCTGCCTGCCCATCATGGTGTACGACTTTCCAGCTCCAGTCTGGCCGTAGGCAAAGATACAGACATTATATCCATCGAAGGAGTGCTGCAACATCTCCTCGCCGATGTCCTTGTACACCATCGATTGTGTGGAGAAATCGGCATCGTGATGCTGTGAGACAAATACGAATTTGGGTAACAGATTTCGTGGAATTTAAGTGCAACTTACATCATGTGACCAGTAGGAGTAGTCAAAGTTGAAGCGCTTCACCGAATCGCTTGTGTTGGGCGGCACCTTTGGATTGGTTATGGCTGTCAGGACATAATATCGAATAATTTAATTAAGAAAAACCCAAAGTGCTCATGAGATTCTAACCCGTTGTGGCTCCTGCCATCTCGATGATGCATTTCGACTCCCTGGCTATTTCGCGCGAGTTGAAGGGGCGCACTCGCACCGCCACCTTAACCGACGACATCTTGTCCTTCCTCTCTGTGGGTGTCCTGGTTTCCGGTTAACTGGAGTGGAAATAGAGGAAAGGGGAATACTTTATAGACATTCGAGTCGTTCGAGTGGGCTGTAAATTGGCCAGAGACTGCCAGCCACTGGCACCACTGACATTTTATAATTGCCCCAACTTTATGGTTATGTACTCGTCCACGATTTGTTTCTGTGGTAGCTCGGAGCTATGAGTCATGCCCCGGCAACTCGCCAGGGAAATTTGAATTGAAGCCAGGGGTGGGGCTAAGGATGTACTTTCTTGCTGTCCTATATGTCCTATAAGTCGGAGACTAAGCCGACTGCATTGGTAACTATTTTATTACAACGATTCCTTTTAAGGATAAAGAAGTTACTCTAACTTTTGAAATATTAAAGGTGAGTTCTTTTTCTCTCCTGTGTTTGCGTAAGAATCAAGTATTTAAAACGAAAAATATATACCTAGTTATAGAAAGCTAAAAATTCTTGACAATTTTGTTAGATTTAGGGTTTGTTTTTCAGTAGTTTGACTTGTCGAAATGGATTTCAATGCAAATAGTTTTGTATGACCCGCAACCCTCTTGACTCACACACACGCACCCTCACTCACACACTTAAAGGAGTGGGAAAAATTCCACAATCCACAATGCTTCCAATAAAAGCGCAGACGAGTGTTGGCCAATAGTCGAATGAGTCATCGAGCAAATACAAGAGGCAGAATAAAGAAAAGTACTCACACGCCAAGAAAAGTAAAATGTTTTCAAAAGGCAATGTGTTACATGTATTTTCAATATATTCCGCAGCTTTGTTAAAATAAATAACTAGCATTTAAAGAGATCAATTTACCTTTAGTTAAGGCCAAACTATTGCTGGCTTATAGGACGGCTATATCCTTAAAGTTCATTATAGCACAAGTTGTCAGGAATCTAGTTAGCACTTTTTCGATTGCACTTAATGTGATTTGATTTTTAGTTAATGTTTGATAAAACAATATATATTTTTTTCGTTTGCCACTCTGTATTTTTTGTATCTCTAGTGGTAATTTCACTTGACCAACTGAGAAATTCTTTCACTCGCGTACACTAGCGTCCTAGAATATTGTGAAACCAAGTTTAGAAACTATTCCAATGCGCAGCTGTGAGAATTTCTCTCTTTCTCGTCCTTTCTCTCTCTTTGTTTACCTGACCAAAATACTTTTGTTTATGTTATTTTTTTTGTTCTTTCAATTTTCCGAACAAACTGTCAAAGCAAATGTGCAACAGCCTGCAGTAAAAAGTCTCCACAGGAAGATTTGCGCAGAAGCGCGAGACAGGAGAAGTGTGGAGAGAAGACAGAGAAAGTCGAGAGAATTGTAGAGAGTGTGGGAACGAAAGTGAGATAGAATATGCTAAATATTTGTGTAATGTATTTAATTTAGATTGTATGATATGCAGACTGACGCTGGTTGAAGGCGCACGAAACGATAAGAGAACGTCTTTAAGAAATTAAAATCAGGCTATATCCTTTTAGAGAACGTCCACATCTCAACGCCCTGAGCTCGGTCTACCTGGCCAGGCTCTTGAAAATTTATTCGTCACACAGTCAACCCTCATTTGCACTTGAGAAGCGAACCAAACACTCGAGGTCCTTTGCGATACCTCGCTTTTATTGCCTTCTGCGTCATATTTTTTATGGCTTCCTGCGGGGCAACACGGCGGGCACTTAATGCCTTATGCAGGACCTCTCACCGCACTCACATGCGCGCCCCGTCGCAGTCGTGGGTAATATCCTTCGCTTGTGTTCTTCTTGACCTTTATTAATAAATTTTCAAGTTGCCTTTGCCATGGACACCGAGCCAGGAAATCTCTACACTCTACACACTAAGCACACTATTCTGGAGGCCACTGTAGACTAGATGATGGGGGATAAAGAAGTAGCGAATCAAAATTATGTAAAACGAAATTATGGGCTATGTTTTTAGCGAGAATTTTGAAATGTTTGGTCGAGCGAATTGATGAAATTTTGCAAATATATTTTGAAGCATTTACCAATCGATTTTTCTCTTTTCGTTTTATTTTTTTCGGGGCACTATACTCATCAACTTATGGAACTCAAAATATTTTCTGTTTTAGGAACATTTGTGGTTGTTGCTGATATTCCGTTGGCTGTTGTTGTTGCTGCATTTCTTGGTCTGGCTGGTGTTCTTGTGTGTAATTGAATACTAGTACGAAGCTATCCAACATGGATCGCTTGGAGGTGGTGGCAAAAATAATGGACAGCACCAGAATTGTTGTTAACAATAGGGCGAAAAACAATAGGTAACCAAAAGCGCACATTCGCGTAGTTTCTTCTTGAATTTGCTAAAGGATTCTTGCACACATATTATATATATGTAGCCTTTCGTATATGTGTATATATGTAGGGGTCTGCCTTTCTGTATAACAGCGAAAAATGTTCACTCCTTTTTTTGGGTAGACATATAGTGGATAAAGTTTTAGTTTGCCACTGAATCAAATTGTTTAATTCGGATCTAGTTAGTTGCTTTACTTGGCTGCGCCTTGTGTAAGCGGTTGGGCAGCTTTTCGCTGGTGAAAACGCTGGGTTTTCTGCACAAAATCGATGGCCAGTCAACGGAAGGCCTTAGCAATACAAATTCGCGCACGATTCGAGACCAGAACGAACTGCACCCGTTAAGGGTAGACGACACAGTGAGCTCTGGGAAAGTTCAGAGGATACGACGACCAGCCCTCCACCAAGACGCATGCGCCGCAATCCGGGCAAGAAACTGGAAGGGCGACAGCGACTGTGTGGGCTGTGAGGTGTACGAGTATATGGGTATGCGGGTATGCGAAAAATTTGATAAATTTCATACACATAGCGTAAAAGGTCCGCAACAACAAAGCGACCGCCTGTCATCCGTTGGCCCAAGGAATTTCATTATTAGCGCAAGGTGTCCGCTTTTTCGGACAGCCACTGTGGCGGCCCCCCATTTTACCAATGTCTGATCTTATTATGAGCCATTTGACTATCGCTGCCGGCACAGTGGCTATAGCGACGGCTTTATCCACCAGCTGATGACGTAAAGCGAGTTCTTTATATTGATTTCCCATCGCAGCGAGACGCAGGACAAGCTTTGGCTTTTTATGCTACTCGGTAGTCAGCATTTGTATACTATGTATTCTACGGCGTAATTACATTGACATTGAAATCTGGGAGGGCAGTAAAAAGTTGGAGGTCGTGGCTTCGGTAGGGAAATGTTAGAGGATGTGGCTTGGTAAACGAATGTGCTGGAAGCTGGACGGGTCTATTTGCGAGGAGTCTTTACAAAAATAACCAACTTGGCAGGTAATTTTAAATTTAAAAATCAACGGTTTAAGCCGGACTTACTTCGCCTACAAAGTTGAACTTTTGAGGAATTAGTTTTTCCGGACACTCGTGGAAAAACAAAGTAATCCCAGCACTAGTTTCACTCTTAGTCAATTCAACGCAAGGATTTTGGACTACAAGCAACCAAAATTACAATGTCTATAAACAGCAAATCTGATGCTCCTTTGGTGACCAACGCCCTGGACGCGGAATTCGAAAACTTTTGGAAAACGGTTAGCTGTTTTGCGGCCAACAGCTTTCCCTTCGAGGACCGATGCGAGTTCGTCAAAAAGGCGGAGGACTGCATTGCGAGGACCAATGTAGTTCCATACATGAGACTCTTGGCCTGCGATCTGAAGTGCATCAATTACTTCGAGGAAATGATCTTCATCATCTTGTTCGTGGCGCTCTGCTTCCAAATTCTGGTCTTACTGATCTACACGATCAATGTTTAGTAAGTTTAGCATAAAACGCTTCCAAGTTTAGGAAAAACCCATTTATTTAAAACCATTCTGCCATACAGCTATAGTCCTGCTCTGAAGGTGGTATCACGATTTCTCCATATGAACGAGCATTTGGCTGGAGTTACCATGATGGCCTTTGGAAACACTTCCGCCGACCTCTTCGCCAACTTGGCCAGTGTTGACCGACATGTGCCTGTGTTGGCCAACAGCTTGTCGTCGGCCCTGTTTGTGATAACGATTTCCGGCGGCCTAATATGCTACATTTCCCCCTTCAAGATGAATTCCTACGAAACGGTCCGCGACATTTTATTTCTTTTGTTCGCGACATTTTTGATGGATTACTTTTCATGTAAAGTAACCCATTTCAAACTGGGCAACAACTTGAAATTTCTCAGTAAGCATAACAGACCAAGCGATGTCAACTTTCCGCAAAAATGTAATAGCCTTAAGTTAAATTTTAGTTGTGCTCATGGTTTACATAAGCTACATCATTATCAACGTGACAGATGTGTACTTATTGCGAAGGACTAGAGCCTGTGAGTATTCGTCATATGTATTGTAAAATAACTAAGTAAAGTTGGTGTTGTTAAAAAAAAAAACTTTCCCAGCAACGATTGCCAAAATGCAAAGACTTCTGGACGAGGAGCAAACACCTGAAGTCATATTAAAGCTCCAGGATCTGGAGAGAAAGTTGGAGTATTATTCACAGGATACGAGGGTGGAGATCTTGGAAAAAAAGATTGAAGTCTCGATAACCAGAATACGCTACACTACGATGAGAATGATTCAAAATCAACGTGTTAGCGTCAACCGACGCGTCACCCGAAATATGAGACTGGATTACACGCAATCGAAAAACGTAGGGATCTTCAGGGACTTTCTCCTTGCCCTCAGGCCCATCAAGTGCCAGTCCTGGAAGCAGGCCGACATTCTGAACCGGGTCTTACTGCTGATCCGGGCTCCGGCCGTCGTCATCTGCACCCTCTACATTCCCCTGGTGGACTACGAAATGGAGAAACATGGCTGGAACAAGCTGCTGAACTCCATCAACGTAGTGATTAATCCTGCCCTATCAATATCGTTCTTCATGTGTGAGTAACAATGAAACTTCATTACATAACTATATTCTTCCCCATTGCAGCTTTAATCCATAGAGAAGGAAACACTATGTGGTACATAAGCCTGCAGAACACCATGACTTATGGAGGCTGTTCCCTCGTACTCACAGTGCCGTTTGCCGTCTTCATTCTCATCCACTCACGGACTGATGTGCCACCATCTTATCACTGGGTGAGTTGCAGTGATGACCTGCAAAAACCTCACATAAATCCATTATGCCCATTTACCAGGTGTTTACAATAATGAATCTGACAGGATCGATGTTCCTAATCTTTCTCTGCGCCACGGAAATCGATACAGTGCTGGAAGTGATTGGAAACATATTGTCCATAGACGACAACTACATGGGCGCCACTGTGAAGGCATTTACAGGGAATCTGGGCACTCTTTTCGCGAACACCGCGGTGGCCATTCATGGCTATCCAAAAATGGCATTTGCATCCGTCATCGGCGGATCTTTTTTCAGTGAGTACCTTGAACAATTTCCAGTGCTCCCTTATCTGATTATCTGATTAAAATCCGATTATGCAGCCATCGTCGTAACTGGGAACACTGTGATTTACGTGAGAAGTCTGGTGGGACATCAACAGAACCACAGTGAGCAGATAGAGGAATATGGCCAATTCGCCTTTATATTTCTCATCATGGGACTCTTTAGCATTTTGCTTTGGTCCACAACGTTGGGATTTTTCGCTCGCCGCTCTATGGGATTATATTCGATTGGGCTTTACGTTGTCTACTTATTGTTCGCCACTCTAGTTCATGAGCGAATCATTCACTCGTTTAGCAAAGACAGTCAGCTGAGCTCCGCATTTGGCGATATTTAAGTGGTAAAGGATATTTGGATATTAAAGTGGCAAGGCTTCGAAATTATTAAAGAGCTGGGAATTCTGAAATTGGGCTAATAATTTGTATGATTTCCGAGTTCCTGAAGCGCACCTTGCTGGGAAATTTTTCCTAGTTTACTGCGCAGCATTTTCCCAGCAGTGCGTAAAGGTTGGGCAATGAAAAGCACGCACAGACTGAAAGGAAACCAAATAATATCGAGCGTGTGTGGCTGAAGGAAAATGGGGAAGAGTGGGAAAAGCGGTCGTTGACGTTTTTTGTTGGCTGCGCAATTACTTCTTGTGCACCAGCGACTTTAAGGATTTTCCACTGGGCGAATGTCAATGACAGTTCATGCGCCAAAACATTTCAATTTTCCGCTGCATCATGCGAGTTCGCTGACTCTTGGCCATGATCAAGCAATTAAAACGTAACACTCCAGCAGACAACACTGCATATGAATCATCTGAAGATTATTCCTTTTGCTTAGCTGCAGGCTGGTCTTGAAATTAAATTTAAATTCAATGTTCAAGTCCACGGCTCAAATGACATTTATAGCCGAAGAGGCGGAGGAGAATAAGAGCTCTTGAAATGGCAGACACGTGTATATAAAAACTCCTTGATATTCCTGCTTTTTTTACATTTTCCGAAAGCCCCCAGGACACTTAAAGCTCAAAATGTACGAGTGTTGGTGTCCTCCATTAAGTCTAGAACATAAACGATAAATGCGATTTGGATATTTAAGTCATTGCAAGGAAGGCGTGGGGAAAATGGCAAAATATAGTAGAACAAATAAGCGAAGGAGGTGGAGAAAGCCTGCCCCACGCAAAAAGCACAAACACAGTCGAGCTGCACCAATACAAACGCAAAGCGAAATGGCCGATGACTCATCCGAGGAAAACGCTTGTATGTGAGTGTGGAACCTGGCCACAGTCGCGTCCCAACGAAGTGGGAATGCCAAAGAACAGAGGGCAAGGAGCAGGACATGGAAAAGAAAGGAAGGAAGGAAGGAAGAGCGAGCCAAATGGTGAATCATCTTTCAAGAGGCAAACATTCCTGCCTTCCTCGACAGGTCCTGCCTTTCCACCCACTTCGCAGTTTTTTGTTTAGGTTCTCATAATTTCAAGGTTTGTTTACTCAGTGTTTCTGATACAGAGAGGAAAAATTAAATGCAGCCTTAAATATAAAATGGTAATATTAAGAATATCAATGAAGTAATAAGTGATATTTTGTTTACAAATGTTCCCCAAAGTGGGCTCAATGTACAATTTATAATAAGCCACACAAATGAAATATCACGGCGGATATTTTTCCCCTCTGTAGCTTTTCTCCTGTCACGCAGGACCTCCCGATGTTGGCGTGGTATGTTGTAACTTTCGGTGCCTAGCTGTCGCTCCATATATGTAGTATATAATTTGCGAGCACGCGGCTGCCAGGACACGTTGATTAGCAAGTGATTTCCACTTCGGGCGTTTTTGTTGCCTACTTTTCTGGGTAGCTGACCACACGTGATGAAGTAGACCGCACTGGGCGGCGACCACGCCCCGAAAAACGAGGAGCTGCATTGGGGAACACTTAAAAGTGCAGCGCACAGGTAACATAAATCATTTTGGACAACCACAAGCTTTTGCTCCTATTCCTTGCCGAACACAATTAATAATAAACAAGGGAAAATTGTCAGAACAGGAAGCCATTTCGTGGTCAGCTAAAATATTCCCCCACACTTTCCATTTTCCTTTTTAATGCTGCTCAGCGAAAATTTATGTTTATGGCTTAGCCCCCACTGGGCACTCTTTTTTTCCTTAGAATCCCGCACATTTTACTCCTTTTTTGTATAAGTGTTTTCCCCCATTTATTCATGACACTTTGGTAAGCCACTTTATGTGGCGGTTGAAGAGCTGCGACTTATTAAAGACTCGGGTTTTGGTCAGTCCCTTGTTAGGAGCAACTGCACCGGCTTAGCTTGAATCTGAAGATGGTGAAACCCGTATATTCCCAAGGGTGGGGGAATGTGAGCCGTGCCTCAGATTTGCCCTATTATTAGAACCGCAAACAACAATCACAGCAAACAAGATGCTCGATTCCCATCTAATCCACTGAAACCCTAATCTCTCAATTAAGCTGGTCACTATAATCACACCACAGTGTGGCTGGACATGACGCACAATTTTACACACAGAGGAAAGCAGAGTTAGTGCTTTAGATTATTGAAATAATTCATGTGGATAGCATGGGATTCCCCATCTTAGTTTAGCTTAAATAAAGAGCACAGAAAGTATTAATCTTTAATGTATTATCATAAATTGCTGTAGGCTCACATCTCTTTGTTAATGGTTATATTTATGCAAGATGTACCATTTGACTTTTTTGCTAAAGCCTGAAGATTGATTTTCCTTCAGTAGCCAAGCCAAGGAAACTTCGAAGGAAACCCTTTGCCCACGCACAACAAACAGACAGAGGAACAAGATACAACCTCCCACGCAAATGTGCCACTTGAATGGGCATGCTGGCTGAGTGGCAGCGAGGTGAAGGTTGTCCCTTCAGACTCCTGCTTCTCAAAGGTCAGAGGTTGACCGTCGGCAAACATTTGAAGTCGCTTTGGCTGAATGGAGGACGCACTCCGACAATTGGAGCTCCCCTGGCAACTAGATTACCCTCCCTGACGTCAATTGGCGAGCCGATAAAGCGTGGGCTGTGGCGCATAAATGCGTCTGCTGTGGATGTTCCATATCTACTATTTTGAAATGCGCTGAATGACAGGTTGCACCATATGCTCGGCGAAATTCGCAAACGGCAGTGGAGAGGTCTTATTTATAGAATCCTCTGGGGGCGGACAGCTGCTGAAGGACCTCCAGCGGGATCCGCAACAGGACGAAAGTTGGAAAAGTTCCCGAAGGGAGATGCGTGCGCACTTCTGGGGCAACTGGCTGTGGAATATTGATTTTTCACAAACTTCCCCGAATACCATGAAGTGCGTTTTTCACAAACATTTCGAAAACCATTTCAATTGAACCCCATTCTCATGTGTTCGTTCATGTTTTGATCTAGTTATGCTACTACTTACGTTCGGAAGTTAAATTCCTTGATTGGCGTCAACAGTTTTTCCACACACTCACAGTCACAGTTATTTACCCAATTATTATTGCACTCAGGTGGTTTATTGTTTTCTATTCGTCACCGCCCTGTGAAGATTTAATGGATTTCCTTTGTTTCTTGTTTGTCTCTCGATTTCAAAACTTGGGGCGATTTGCGAGGATGGCCATTACGCGAACAGGCAACAAACGAGTCTGCCAGCGGCTGGCCATTTGTCCCACCATTCGGATACGCGTGCTGGAAAATTGTTTGCAGCTGCGCGCACGCAAGCTCGGGAAAACGCGGTGGAAATGTCAATTTTCCTCCCCCGATTTCGCGGCAGGCTGACTTTTGTTTTGTTTTTGTTTGGCTCGTGCCCAGCTGTTTTGCTAGGGATGGCACCATTGGCGGCAGTGTTGGAAAACGCTTACATCACTTACGATAGTTTTATTTAAACTTTTTTTTTTTTGTAATTGCTTAAATAACTTAAAAGCACAAATACGTATTTTTTGTGATATGTAATGAATGCCACCTTGGTTGACCGTTTTCCTTGGATATTTCGTTTTAAATTGTTAAACCATTCATATCAGTTGCTAGCTGGAACCAATTTATTAGCCGCAACGTAGACTACAATTTAAGATCTCCGCTCCGCAGATGCTTATAGATTAAACATAGACAACCGCCGGCTGCGCTTAGCAGCTGAGCTTCTTGGCCTCCTGGAAGCGGCAGGAGATGTCGTCCCAGTTGGCGATGTCCCAGATGGCCTCCACGTAGGAGGGACGCACATTCTTGTACTGCAGATAGTAGGCGTGCTCCCAGACGTCGATGCCGAAGAGGGGGATCAGGCCAGTGGAGGCCTCCAGGGGATCCTGGTTGGGCAGAGCGGCCAGCTGCAGTTTGCCGGACTTCTTGTTGAAGCCAAGCCAGCCCCAGCCGGAGCCCTGGACCGCCACGGTCAGCGTGGTCAGCTCCTTCTTGAACTCCTCGAAGCTCTTCCACTGCGACTCGATGGCCTTCTTCAGATCATCGCTGGGCTGGCTCTTGTTGGGCGAGAGGTTCTGCCAGAAGATGGTGTGGTTGATGTGGCCACCGCCATTGAAACGCAGGGCGGGAGCCAGCTGAATCAGCTTGGTGGTGTCGCTCTTCGACTTCGCCTCCTCCAGCTGCTCCTCGGCGGCATTCAGATTGTTGACGTAGGTCTGGTGGTGCTTCTGGTGGTGCAGCTCCATGATCTCCCGGCAGATAATTGGCTCTAGGGCGGCATAGTCGTAGGGCAGCTTCGGGAGGGTGTGCTTGCCACGCACCGCCAGGCTGCAAATGGTTAAGTGTATCTGGTTTTATAATGTCCTCAAGATCAGGGTCGCCATTTGTTGCTATTTATGTAATCAGCCGGCATCGATTTTGGTACAATTTTCTTTGCTTCTCCCGTGCAACTTACCTTGCCGTTTGCGTAATTTTACGGGCCACGAACATATCTGCGTTTTATTCGACTGCAAATAAGGCAAACTCCTGATATCAGTTTTAAAACCAAATAAAACAAGGCTTACGTTCTCGTTATTTTGCTTGATCTTTTTGAACAATTTATTCCTAGAGATGAGCAGCCAGCTGAAAATATCGAAAGACCTTAATCAGTGATGTGAGACTAACTTTTATCTTGGCTAATTGATAGATGAATAAATATATTTCTAAACGGTCAACGATGCCTGTTTACATTGATATACAACATTTATTCACATATAACGTCATATATAACATATATATAATATATGACTATTAGCTCTTTTATAGCCGCTTGGGCATCGATAGTTCCCATTTGATTGCTGATGGAACTAATCGATTTTTGCCACTCTGACTCCAAGGCGCCAAATTTGAAACTGATCAAGAAATTAACGTCATACGTTTGAAAATCTGCCTGGAATACAACATCACAGCACACAACATGTCTACATTTCGTATACCGTCCCGAATAAAAATCGATATAACAGATAAACGGGTACAACATATTCTCCACAAATATCTTCTAGTACGTAAGTTTCCCAAATACAAGCCATCATTTCTACGATTATATGATGATTTGTTCAGCAACCTCTTCTGGAGACATGAGCAGTGGGGAAGGTAGTAATTCGCGCCAAGCCGCAGTGGTTATTGACAACGGCTCTGGAGTATGCAAAGCCGGATTCTCCCCAGAAGACACTCCCCGCGTGGTCTTCCCATCGATTGTGGGCAGACCTCGTCACCTGAACGTCCTGCTAGACTCCTTGATCGATGACAGTGTTATTGGCGAGGCGGCTGCCCGCAAAAGGGGAATACTAACGCTCAAGTATCCCATTGAGCACGGCATGGTCAAGAACTGGGATGAAATGGAGATGGTCTGGAAGCACACGTACGAGCTGCTACGTGCGGACCCAATGGATTTGCCCGCTCTACTAACCGAAGCCCCTCTGAATCCGAGGAAGAATAGGGAGAAGATGACGGAGATTATGTTCGAGCACTTTCAGGTGCCAGCTTTTTATGTGGCAGTTCAGGCTGTGCTCTCACTTTACGCCACCGGACGCACTGTGGGCATTGTGGTGGACTCGGGTGATGGCGTGACCCACACGGTTCCGATCTACGAGGGATTTGCCCTGCCCCACGCCTGTGTACGAGTCGATCTGGCTGGCAGAGACCTTACCAATTATCTGTGCAAGCTGCTTCTGGAGAGGGGAGTTACCATGAGCACCTCTGCTGAACGGGAAATCGTGCGGGACATCAAGGAGAAACTGTGCTATGTCTCGATGAACTATGCCAAGGAAATGGATCTGCACAGGAAGGAGGATACCTATGAGCTGCCGGATGGCCAGAAAATCGTTTTGGGCAGCGAGAGATTCCGCTGCCCGGAGGCTCTCTTCCAGCCCAGTTTGCTGGGTCAGGAGGTGATGGGCATTCACGAGGCCACCCATCACTCGATCACCAGCTGCGACATGGACCTGCGAAAGGATATGTATGCGAACATAGTGCTCTCCGGCGGAACTACCATGTTTCGTAACATCGAGCATAGATTCCTGCAGGACCTAACCAAAATGGCTCCCCCATCCATCAGAATAAAGGTTAACGCTAGTCCGGACCGCAGATTCTCCGTTTGGATGGGTGGTTCCGTCTTGGCCTCGCTTACTAGTTTCCAAAACATGTGGATCGACAGCTCGGAGTACGAGGAAGTTGGTTCTACCATAGTCCATCGAAAGTGTTTTTAGCTGAGCAGGGTCGTTCTGAGCTATATTTATTATATATTTTCTATTTGTTAATGAATTCAACGTTCATGGAAATTCTTAAGGAAAGATATTCATTTTCAGGTTTCCTCAGTTTTCCAAATTAATATGATATAAAAAAAATAAAACAGGTTTCGATTGATTTGGGTTTTATTCCGTTAAACCAAACAGCGGACAAGCTAACCCCAGGACCAACTATCTCCTTGATAATTTAAGCTGGTAAAACAACCTCCAGATAACCAACGCCAAATAAACTAAGTAAGATGAACCTCCAGGTAAACTAACCCCCAGGCAAAATAACCCCCAGATAAACTAACCCGCAGGTAAAATCACCTCTAGATAAACTAACCCCCTGGTAAAATCACCTCTAGATCTGGATAACTTCCAGATAAACGTACGCCCAGTTAAACTAACCCCCAGGTAAAATAACCTCAAGATGAACTAACCCCCAGATGAAGTAACCCCCAGATATCATATTCTCCATATAAAATAACCCCCTAGCGCCCCCTAAGCTAACTCCCAGGTAAACTAAAATAAACCCATACCCACAATATACCTATACGCATTAAAATAATACCCATATATAATAACACCCAGATAATATAATCCATATATAAATCAACTTCCAGAAATCGTAAGAATTTAATAAACCTATTTAATAACTGCTAAACTTCTATTCTGATTTATTTCGATTTTATCAAACCAAATGAAATATACAAATGTATTCGATTCTCACATCTCTGCGGGAGTCACCACCACGCAGTAACCTTAACTTCTATTCAGTTGCACGTGCACCGTGCGACAACCAAATCCAAGTTTCCACTCTCGATGCATTCACCTTCATAATCATAATTGTCAAGCTCCATCATTTCGCAGTCAGATGCACTTGGGCATAAAGCGCTGTTGTTTAAGAGCTTGACAAGATTTCGATCACGGATCTAGCCGTGGATTTGTTAAAGTCAGAGCCGCACAGTCGACACGTCGGAGTAGGAATCGGAGTGGGCACTGAAACTTGGTTCTTTCAATTGGCAGATAAGGATAAGAAATCAATCCGGATCGTTTTCCCAGCTCTATGTACTGAGGCACCAGCTGGAGGGGCTCGCTGTTCAAGGAACAGTGAATGTCACGGAGGACTATTAATAAATGCTATAAATTGATATTTGAGATCTTCGAATATCAATAACATTGATTAAAGATATTCAATGTCTGAAATCACTGCTCCATAAAAATAGATTTCTTACCTGTTATTTTCGGTCAATGCAAATAATGTATTCAAATAATGGCAGAAATTAGCACGTCATTACGCTGCACTTTGATTCCAATTAATTGCGAATTTATTAAGCCAAATGATGCATACAAATGTGTGAGATTGCCACATCTCAGCGCAGTAACCTTAGCTTCCTTCCAGTTGCACGTGCAGCCAGAACTGCGAGCTGCGAACTGCAAAAGCCAAGTTTCGAAGCATTCACCCTCATAATCGTATTCATAATTGTCTAGACTCATCATTTCGCAGTCGGCTGCTTTTGGGACTCAAAGCGCCTTTGTTGGGCACTTTGCCTGATTTCGATCACGTATCAATGGCGAACCTCCAATGGTTGGAGACATACTCGTCTACTCGCAACACAACGCGTGCTTGAGGAGGTGCACCTGCAACATCGCATTAGCCAAAGGTTCGGATTACCCATTCTAAGCGCATCTGAGACTTTGTTATTAGGAAGTGGGAACCAAATCAGTCCTCTTTAAATCTGCATTGTTCGGAACTGCCATCTTCTGCACAAATGATTACAATATATTCTTATTCCGCACTGTATTCGATGAAGGTCGCTTACATAAAGATTAAAAGCATATAAATGATATGACAAACTAATATTGATATGGTGGTTTTATTGTAGTGGCCCATTTCCAGTGGCATGCAGCTGAGCCTGGGTTTTGAGTCAGAATCGAATTGACAGCCGCTTGAAAGGGTTTTCCATACCAAATGGATATCTGTGCCAAGTCGCTGGCTGCGGTGACTGTTTTCATTTTATATATGGCAGAGTAGCGGCTCCAAGGTTGCGTGAATTCATCACTTCACTTCACTCCCGCGGGCTGTGCTACTGCAATTTTGTAAATTGTTTCCACTTGGTTACCTCATGGCTAACGTGGATTTATGTATCACTTTGGATGGGCCTGCAGTTTTGTTTGATTTTTTATTTGATTTTTATTTTCTATTAAACACCCGAACACAGAATAATTCAAATTCGTGAGGCCATAAATAAAAAGGGACATGGAGCGAGCGAGTGGGTGGGGGCCAGAGATGGGGCCGCAGTTGGAGATGCAGGCATCATTGTGTCATGCCGAGACTCGCGGCTCCATGGGCTGGTAGTCTGATTTGGCCGGGCAGAGATGTCTCTTGGTCGTCTTCGACTTGGATGATGTTGTCGCAGTCGCCGGTTTCATATGCATGCAATGGAGCGTGGCCTAATGCGATGTTGTTTGCCGCAAATGCATGTGCACGTTCAGCGGCTTGGAGGCGATAGTTCCCAGGCTAGGAGCTGTGCCTTCTCCGGAAATACCCACTTTTATAGCTCAATTTGGTCACCCATCCCGAGCTGTTCTGTTTGCTTATATTACCTGTTGCGTGCCCGCCTGTCACATCAAATTACATTGGAGCAGGAATTTATGCCAGCCCGACTGGGAAAACAAGGGCGCTTTTTTGCAACAGCAGATCTACCCTCTAAGCACCCTAACAAAACTAACAAAAATTTATTATATTATAATATTTTTATTATATTTATTTATATTAATTAGTGAGCAGATGCATGTTCTACTTATAAACATAGTAATCCACCTAGCACTCTAATGGCGTTTTCCGCAAACCTCAGATACCCACAGAAAGGGTATCCTGTATCCTGTGGCCAAGCCATTGCGCAGCTGCGAGCAGTGCTATTCCCGGGCTGATTCTGATGCGGAGTCCTGCTGCAATGAGCTCATTGCCCAAGGAGCAGCACAATGGAACAGGCGCACAGTACAGCTTCCCGACTGCGATGGATTTGCGTCTGCGGCTTGGCCGTTTCGGTGTATTCACTGTATGTAAAAGCCAAGCTAAAGGAGGATGAGCACTATAGGCCCATGTGCGACGTGAACGACAATATCAGCTGCTCCCTAGTCTTTAAATCAGGGTATGCTGCATTTTATATACGATTTGAATTTAATGAAATCCGTGAAATTTATCCATCAGCTATGGCGATGGCTTTGGTCTGGGTAGTATAACCCAAGTAAATGCGCCCAACGGAAGCATCGGTTGCATATTCTATGTCCTCTACTTTTTGAGCTGTGAGTAAGTATCTTTTGTGTGGGTAAATAAATTTAATAAACATGTTTTTTAGCTTTCTTCTATCGTCGTTGGCTGTGCTTGGCCCAGCTGATAGTATGCACTTTGACATTGCTTCTCTGCGTTTATCTGGGATTCCTGCTGCTTTTTGTGTTTTACGACTGCTGTTTGCTGTGCGTGGCCATCTACTGCATACACATTTGGCTCTTTCAGGAAGTCGTAAGGCGATATAGACGGCTTTACATGTAAGATTCGTACAGAAATTATAAAGATAAAGCGCTAAGATGAGCTAAGCCAGTGAGTTATTTTAAACCGTCGACGTGTTGTGGCGCATATCTTAGTCATCATCTCTCGTCTATGGCCGCAAGCAGGATGCTGAGCCGGCATCTTGCAGCTCCCATGACCAAGCACGTAGTTGGGCAATTAATTCTGCACGTTCCCATTTGCGGCAAAGGCTGTGATCCGTGATCTGCGATCCATAATCCGCGAATGGCGCTACTGCCAGCCGAGTTAACCATGCCAGCCCAGTTAATGCGGTGGGCGGACTGCGAAAACTCGGCGCAATTAATTTCCCATAAGTTCGGGAATCCCTTTGTGTGGGCTGTGGTTCCGATTTGGGTGAGCTGAATAACTGAATCAATGGATGTGTGGAAACATATACAGTGTGGATGATGTATCGCACACCCTTGTAGTCTTAAGTATCTATGACGAAAATGCCTGAAGCTTAAGCTGATGATATTTAGCTATCTCAGAGCTGCCAACGTGAATCACAGAATATTAGTTGCAGCCTCCTATCATCGCTTACATTTGCATCGCATCAATCCGAACGGATGATCTTGAAGGTTGGCCACGAAGATTAAGCTGTCTTTTTGATCACCAAGTCTCTTTTGATCTAGTTGAATCATAATCAATGCAATTAGACTGGCATTCCAGTTTACACATCAACAGCATACCCTTCTTTTCCAATTTATTCTCTGGTCTGCGAGCCAGCGCCACAATCTCCAATGCAATCGACTCGACCCTTCTACACCCATCAGACGCATCAGCGGATCCTACACCCGATTGGGGTCGTCTTTGGCACGATCTTCTTCGATGTATGGCTGGGCTTTTTATTATTATTTTTCCTTTTTCGACGCTGACAAGACAAGGCAAACAAATGCAAACGTTGGCGCTTGTCATAGCCACCACTGAACCACTGAACCACTGGAACACTGAGCCACTCGCTTGGGAGAGTGAGCCGCGGCAGACGCCGCCGACACATTCACCCAGTGGAGTAGACCGAGTAGACTACTTTGGGCCAACGCAAAGGCGAATCCAAAAGGCTTGGGGCCCGGGCACAATCACCACCTCGCCGCGCCTCGAGAAGATGTGCGCCGAAAGAAGGCAAATCAGCCCGAGACACGAGACCCAAGACCGCGGCACCCTTCACGTGGCAAGCTGGCGCGGATCGGGGTGGTGAAGGGTTGGCAAGCAAGCTCAGTGATTGAGATTTTCGCTTTGGAGCGCATAGAATCGGCCACCGCTTCTCTGAAGACGACGATCGTATGTGGCAGCCGCATCAGCTGCAGTGGCATCGGCAGCAGCTGTGTTGCCGGTTGCCACACGCTCCACAAAGCCACCTCCATCTCATAATCGAGTTCGTGTGTGTGCATCCTAGACTTTCAGTTTTTCGGTTTCAGTTTGCCTCATATAAATACGCCATGTGGCAGCTACCACAGATCAGTCAGAATTCGGCGCTGCTTCCAAGCGCTAGTCTCATCCCAAAGATTCCGATCAGTCCGTAGCCCAGCTTCAGTTCCAGCTTCAGCTGCAGATACAAGTGGAATATGTTCAAGTTACTCGGCTTGACGCTGCTGATGGCGATGGTGGTCCTTGGGCGACCGGAGCCTCCAGTAAACTCGTATCTACCTCCGTCCGATAGCTATGGAGCACCGGGTCAGAGTGGTCCCGGCGGCAGGCCATCGGATTCCTATGGCGCTCCTGGTGGTGGCAACGGCGGACGACCCTCGGACAGCTATGGCGCTCCAGGCTTGGGCCAGGGTCAAGGACAGGGACAAGGACAAGGCGGATTTGGTGGCAAGCCCTCGGATTCCTACGGAGCTCCTGGTGCTGGAAATGGCAACGGAGGTCGCCCATCGAGCAGCTATGGCGCTCCTGGTGCTGGAAACGGCGGTCGTCCCTCGGATACCTATGGTGCTCCTGGTGGCGGAAGTGGTGGACGCCCGTCGGACACTTATGGCGCTCCTGGTGGCGGAAACGGCAACGGCAACGGCGGTCGACCTTCAAGCAGCTATGGAGCTCCTGGTCAGGGACAAGGCAACGGCAATAGCGGTCGTCCTTCAAGCAGCTATGGTGCTCCTGGTGCTGGAAACGGTGGTCGTCCCTCGGACACTTACGGCGCTCCTGGTGGCGGCAATGGCGGTCGTCCTTCAAGCAGCTACGGCGCTCCTGGTGCTGGAAACGGTGGTAACGGTGGTCGCCCATCGGACACCTATGGTGCTCCGGGTGGCGGAAATGGTAATGGTAACGGAAACGGAAACGGCAGCGGTGGTCGTCCTTCAAGCAGCTATGGAGCTCCTGGTCAGGGCCAAGGCGGATTTGGTGGTCGCCCATCGGACTCCTATGGAGCTCCTGGTCAGAACCAAAAGCCTTCGGATTCATATGGCGCCCCTGGAAGCGGCAGCGGCAGCGGCAATGGCAACGGCGGACGTCCTTCAAGCAGCTATGGAGCTCCAGGCTCAGGACCTGGTGGCCGACCCTCCGACTCCTACGGACCCCCAGCCTCTGGATCGGGAGCAGGTGGTGCTGGTGGCAGTGGACCCGGCGGCGCTGACTACGATAACGATGTGAGTACTTGATAGCTTTGCAAATGGGGTACCTGGTATGGCATCTTTTATATGGCATCTTTTTATTCGGGGACCACTGGGTGGAAATGACCAAACGGGAACACCGCTCCACCGCCCACACCGCTGCACACCTGCCCTTGCAAATCTTTGGTAGACTCGTTATCGCTCACCTGCACAGCCATCGGCGTTTAAAGCTTGCATCCCCACAGAAATCTGAATTCTTGATCCCAGCCACTCTATCTCTCTGTGTTTCTCTCTTTCTCCACACGCCCCAATCTGTTCTCCATTCTCCATGATCCGCTGTCCATGCTCCATGCTCCATGCTCCATGATCCGTTCTCCGGCGTTAGGAGCCCGCCAAGTACGAATTTAATTACCAGGTTGAGGACGCGCCCAGCGGACTCTCGTTCGGGCATTCAGAGATGCGAGACGGTGACTTCACCACCGGCCAGTACAATGTCCTGTTGCCCGACGGAAGGAAGCAAGTAAGCGGCGGCGGCGGCGGCGATGGCGATGGCGTTGGCGGGCAACAGGAGTCGATGTGGACCTACCCACTGCTCCACCACCTCATCCTCCTGTCACGGCTAACATTGTTACCTCTTTCTCTCTCTCTCTGTCTTCCCTAGATCGTGGAGTACGAGGCCGATCAGCAGGGCTACCGGCCACAGATCCGGTACGAAGGCGATGCCAACGATGGCAGTGGTCCCAGCGGTCCTGGAGGTCAGAATCTGGGTGCCGATGGCTACTCCAGCGGACGTCCCGGCAATGGCAATGGCAACGGAAATGGCGGTTACTCCGGTGGACGCCCAGGGGGTCAGGACCTGGGACCTAGTGGTTACTCCGGTGGTCGTCCAGGCGGTCAGGACCTAGGAGCCGGTGGCTACTCCAATGGCAGGCCGGGCGGCCAAGACTTGGGACCAAGCGGTTACTCCGGTGGACGCCCTGGGGGCCAGGATTTGGGACCTAGTGGCTATTCCGGTGGTCGTCCAGGCGGTCAGGATCTAGGAGCCGGTGGCTACTCCAATGGCAGACCAGGCGGCAATGGCAATGGCAATGGTGGAGCCGATGGCGGACGTGTGATCATCGGCGGACGTGTGATAGGCGGCCAGGATGGCGGTGATCAGGGCTACTCCGGCGGACGTCCCGGTGGTCAGGATCTGGGCCGTGATGGCTACTCCAGCGGTCGTCCGGGCGGCCGGCCGGGCGCCAATGGCCAGGACAACCAGGATGGCCAAGGATACTCCAGCGGCCGGTCGGGCAAGGGTGGACGCAATAGTTTCGGACCCGGTGGTCAGAACGGCGACAACGATGGCAGCGGTTATCGGTACTAGGAACGACTCACAGACACATTTAGCTAGATCCCCCGAACATATAGCAATACCTAGTGTTAAGTCCTTCTAGAACTATGCCCTCTACCTGTCCCCTCATCCCTCGACATCTATTCGTGCCCATTCTGTCCCACTTCTTGCTGTCCCGCCCACTTCCGCCCGCCCATCCATTAAGCCTGCTCACTTCCTCGTAGTCGTAAGTCCCTGTTGATCTAAATGCAAGTGCGAAAAATCACCCAAAAAAAGGAATGAAATGATAAAGCTATTTCCGATGTAAGTAAAGACATTAAATATATATTTTTTATAAAACTCTTAAATCTTTTTATTGCTTCGGAACCGGTGGTTCCGAACCGAACCGGTTGCTACATAAATATTTGAAATCGAACTGTTACAACAGCTACAAATTTCGCTTTTATATTTGGTATCTGAAAGTCAAAAAAATAAAGGTATATTACGTTTTTATCTGAAAATATGTGCAATTAGGGTTCAAGTCAGTGCTAACGTGCTATCGAAGTTCCAAACCATTTTCTAAAATAATTCTAATAAGAAACTACAATTAAATTAATCACTATAACATGGACACCTGTAGAAATCAACAATAAAAAAATATGTTGTTGAAAAACAGATTTATATACACATATAACATATAACACAAATAATTTATATGAAATGGAAACTGATAAAAAATTATATTGAAATATAAAATTCAAAAATACCTTCTAGTATTTTTTTAGACCGTGGCTTTTTTAGTACATTTTCGAGCGCGGCATTTCCAGCACCGCGCAACCTGGTCACACTGTACGTTGGCGTCGGCGTCGCGCGCGGATCGTTTTGTGTTATTTCGCTGCCGAATTTTCGCTGTACTCGAGGTTTTAAACAAACGAAGCGAACGAAAGAAGAAGCCAATAAGCGTGGTGAATAGCAATTAAAAGAGCGCGACGCAGTGGCTGTCATCACATGCACAGCGATTAATCGAGGGGCATTTTGGGCCCCAGTTGGAGCTCGATGTGAGTTGAAAGTGCGGGCTGTGTGGGGGGGAAAGCCTATAAATAACAATATGCAATGCTATTTTAGAT